GACAGGGTGTGATATGGATTAGCACCTGCTCCTGAACCCTTCATTGCCCTTCTTGTTGCAACAGGCTACAGAATAGCATCCCTGTTTCACTCTAGATGGTCCCTCTGTCCCTTATCCGGTATTCCTGAGTCAGGGGGAAAGTCACGTGCAGGTTGGCAGAAGTGGTTTTAGTGAGGTACTGGTGCAGCAAGGGACAGTCCATTCCCAAGGGAAAAAGGCAGGGGAAGGGAGCAGGGTAAGTAATGCCTGCTAGATGTTGGGTCATTTGAGGTCTGGGTTTTAGGGACAGGCCCACATGGGAGGGAATAGAGATCCCTCTCCATTTCCATCTACATAACAAAGAGCATATGTCTACACCATCAAAGGGAGGTGCAAGGAAGGCTGCAGTGAAGTATGTCACATGCTCTATCGGCTACATCCAGTTTCCCTGAGACCCCAATTTGACTAGGTATGCCTGCTCAAACCCTGAAACACCCAAGACCCAGCCCCTCACCTCACTGCTGTCCACACACATTTTTAGGCCTGGGACAAGTTCTGAAGTCAGGGCTGCCCTCCCTACCTGATGCCGTAACAACAGACTACTTCATTCTTTTAGTCCAACATATGAAACAAGGCAAACATGTCCTTATTATGGTTTTAACATACAAAGCAGTATTCTGTGAAAGGCATTCATCACCTTCGAACATACTGGGCCAGTCCAGGCTTCCCAGAAAGCTTGGCCCAGGACAGGTTGCCTTAGCCCATAGGCAGCACTGCTTCTGACACTGCACCTCAGAGGCCAAACACGGTTGATTCAGCACTGCTATTATGGGGCAGCCCAGGAGATGGAAAGACAGGTCAAGCCTGTCTAGATTGCATCAAGTTTGGATGGGTTGAAGGTCCATGGTGGGTCTTCTTGTGGGGGCTAACAGCCACATCTGGCTTGGGACTTACAGGAACCCTAGAGCCTAGGACTGGGAAGAGCTGTTAAGGGTCATCCCCTGTGCAAGTGCAGGATTTGCTGTTCTTAAACCATCCCAGACAGATGCCTCTCCAGCCTCTCCTTGAAAACCTCCAAAGGAGATTCAACAGCTTCTCCAGGCAGCTCTTTCCACTGCCCTTACTGCTCTGACAGCAAAGAAGTTTTTCCTGAAATTTGCTTTGCAGCAGTTTAAACCCATTGCCTCTTGCCCTGCCCTTTGTGGGAGCAGAGCAAGCTGGGTTGCCGAGAGGCCTGAACTGTGGGGTTTCTGAAATCATAGACCATGCAATAAAGTACCATGTCTGTTAGTGCAAAGGTGGTGGCAGACTGTTGTTGATACTTGAGGACAGAGGTTGTGTTGGGTGAGCCTGGGAGACATCTCTGACTGCTCTGGGAGACTAAGACAGCGGTGTCTACCTGAGACAACAAGATTGCTCTCATGGGAGCAGATGCTAAGTGGTGGATCTTGGTTGTTGCAGCTGCCGGTGACCTTGCTAGAGGTGCCTCTTTCACCATGGAGCCATGGGTGATGCTGGATTCACGGCAGAAAGCCCTCTACCGGGATGTCATGCAGGAAAGCTATGAAACACTGATGTCCCTCGGTAAGGCTTTCGTTTCTGTTCCCTGTTTCTTCTCCCCAAATAAATCCCTTTCTCTCCCACTCCTTCTTTCCCCTCTCTAAGTAGTGCTCCCCAAGATTGAGTGGGGAGGAGAAAGGGTGCAGCTCCAGAGGAACCCTTACCCATGTTAATTGTCTAATGAGTCCTGAGGAAACCACCAAAGACAATCCAAGTTTGCAGGCAGCAAGGAGCTGCCTGAAGAGTGATGTGTAGGATGGGGGACCAGCAGCAAACAGCCGAGGCCTGAGTAGATGTAAAAGCCACAAGTACAAAGCTGCTCAGCATTTCTCCAACCAAACATTTCTGGCTAGAAAAAAAGCAGCCTTTTTTCCACCCCAAATGGTTGTGTCCTCCAAAGGACTGCCAACTCTTTGGGCAAGACATTTTATGCTGCTTTCTTTTTGGGGAGAATCGTTGTCCAGAAAGTTGCATGGAAAAGATTCTCCGAGGTTTTCTTCTTTTTTATTTGCAGAAAAATGAGAATTTTTTTTAAAAAGTGCAATACTGTATTAAAAAAAAAAAAGAGTACCGTTTGCCATTTTTTAAAACCGGACAGTGTATTTAATGGCAGGCGTGATGGGGCCAGAAAGAGAATTGTTGATGGGACAGAGATTAGGTAGGGTCAGCGAAAGGGAAAACAGGGCGTCCTAGAGATGGAGTGAAGAGAGAAGGACCAGCTGGTGAATAGTTGAAGCATTGCAGAGCTGGGGAAGAGGAGAAATGAGGAAGAGAGGAGAGAGACCCCAGGAGGTGGGGACAGCCAGAGGCAGAGGAGGAGGAGCTGGAGCTGAGACACTTAATGAACCCTGATATCACCTGTTTTTCCCCCACACGAGCACTATTTCCGATTTCTAAACCTGACCTGATCTCCTGGATGGAACGCGGGGAGGAGCCATCTGCCCAGGATTTCCAGGGATGGGAGAGCCCCCGAGGAGTCCACACAGGTGAGCAGCCAGTAGAGCCACCTCCCAGCCCCTCTGCCAGGGTGGACGGGGAGCAAAGGACACAGCCACAAGGATCTCCGTCAGCTCCCCTCTTCTACCTCCTCTCACCTGGGTCAGGGTTGTAGTGAGCAGCAGGCGCTGTATTGAGAGCTAGTTGGATGTTTCCAGCAAAGCAATGCTTTTCTGGGTGGGGCAAAAGTGGGAGGATGATGAAAAATGGCTTTTTGACCAAAAGATGTTGTTGCCCAAAATCTTCATTTTGGTGAGTATTCTTAAGCTTTCAAAGATGAAAAAGCAAGTATCTGGATGTGTGTGTGTGTGTGTGTGCGTGTGTTTTTCAATATTTCCATTGCTTTTTGCAAAGGTTTTAATGGAATTGCAATGTAAAACTGAAAATGGTGTTAGTGGCTTTTGGAAACTGGAAAAAATGAAAAAGAAAATTAAAGTGGGGGGGGGGATCATTTCAGGTTACCACAGGGAATCATTTTTATTTTTGTGGGTTTAAAAAAAAAAACAAGACAATATTTTAATCTTTTTGTTTTTGGAAATTCTGGCTGATGCTTTATGGCAGAGGTCACTTCTGGTCCCCCCCATCCATCCTGGCTGGCATCTGGCAGTAGTTCTCTTCCCTTTCCCGGAGAAAATTCAGATGGGTTGTGAGGCAGAACTGGTCCCCTTCTCTCTCTCACTCACTCTCCCCTTGGGAAGGGAATAGGGGAACTCAGCTCCTGCTTTTCCCATCTCCCTAAATCATGGTTCCTTCTTCCCCCTCTTCCATCCCCACCCGGAGCAGGGAGCGACTCATGGCTGGACACTCTCTCCATTTTTCCCAGCAGCTGATGGATTGGTGAGTGACAATGAGGAGGAAGAGGAGGATGCTGATGAGGAAGAGGAGGAAAGCCCTGAGGAAATGGGACCATGCATGTCCCAGAGCCCTGAGCGGGAAAAGAGTCCAGCCAGCTCAGAGGGACTAAAGAAAACTCAACTGGGGAAGAAGCTGGATAAGGCCATGCAGCACAGTGGGGGCCTGAAGAAGCCAAAGGGTGCATCTGCTGCAAAGTCGGCAGCCCTTTGTGGGGACTGCGGGAAGAACGCCCAGGACCGGGTGCAGGCGGGCAGGGACCGGCGCAAGCTGCCCCAGCAGCGGGAAAAACCCTTCCGCTGCCAGGACTGTGGCAAAAGCTTCATCTGGGCTTCGCACCTGGAGCGGCACCGCCGCGTGCACACAGGCGAGCGCCCCTTTCAGTGCCCCGAGTGCGGGGAGAGCTACAGCCAGAGCTCCCACCTGCTCCAGCACCGCCGCACCCACAGCAGCGACCGGCCCCACAAGTGCGGGGACTGCGGCAAGCGCTTTGCCCAGCCAGATGAGCTGGCTGCTCACCAGCGGGGCCATGCAGCCGAGAAGCCCCACAAGTGCGGGGACTGTGGCAAGGGCTTCATCTGGGCCTCGCACCTGGAGCGACATCGGCGCATCCACACGGGCGAGAAGCCCTTCCAGTGCCCTGAGTGCGGGGAGGCCTTCAGCCAGAGCTCCCATCTCAGCAAGCATCGGCGCAGCCACACTGGCGAGCGCCCCTACCGCTGCCCCTCCTGCGGCAAGAGCTTCTGCCAGAGCTCAGACCTGGCGCGGCACAAGCGGACACACCTGGGCAAGAAGCCCCTGCGTTGCGGGGACTGCGGGAAGAGCTTCCGCGCCGGCCCAGCCCTGGCCCGGCACCAGCGCTCTCACCGGCGGGAGCGGGCGCACCGCTGTGGGGACTGCGGGAAGGGCTTCGTGTGGGCCTCGCACCTGGAGCGGCACCAGCGTGTCCATACGGGAGAGCGCCCCTTCCCCTGCACCAGCTGCGGGGAGCGCTTTGCCCAGAAGGCCCATCTACTCCAACACTGCAAGACCCACTCGCCTGACCGGCCCTACAAGTGCAGGGACTGCGGCAAGCGCTTCAGCGACAGCGCTGCCTTCTTGGCCCACCAGCAGGGCCACGCCACCGAGAAGAGCTACAAGTGCGTGGACTGCGGCAAGGGCTTCGCCTGGGCCTCCCACCTGGAGCGGCACCGGCGCATCCACACTGGGGAGAAGCCCTTCAAGTGCGGGGAGTGCGGGGAGGCCTTCAGCCAGAGCTCCCACCTCACCAAGCACCAGCGCAGCCACCTGGGCAAGCGCCCCTACACATGCAGCCAGTGTGGGAAGGCCTTTGCCTTCACCCTTGACCTCGTCATCCACCAGAGGACTCACATGGGTGGCAAGCCCTACAAATGCGTGCAATGTGGGAAGGGCTTCACCCGGCGCTCCAACCTTGCCAAGCACCAGAGGAGCCACGAGGAGGGTGAAGACTCCTGAAGGACTGGCCTTAGCACTGGAGGGGACCAAAGGGACCAAGGATACGTGGGACACTTGGAAGCAAGCAAGGGTAGTCGGGAACCACATGTGTGCTGCTTGGAGACTCAGGAGAACTGGGGCGTGGTATAAATGTGATGTGTGACAGCTGATGGAGGTGGCGGATGGTACAAGTGTGGCACATAGGAGCTCAGGGGTTGAGGGGGCAGTATCAGTGTGACACACTGAGGGCTCAAGAAAGCAGAGGCAGTGTCAGCATAACACACCAAAGCTCAGGAGAGTAGAGGACAGGATAAATGTCATGCTCTTTAGCTAAGTTTGGATCCTGGAAGCAGACGAACAGGGAAAATTGCCTCAGCTGAGCACCATACAGCCACATTTGGATTGATTCTGATATGTGAGCTGGCTAGTGCCAAGCTAGCATGGGTATCCCGTCACTGTGTTGCAGTCTGCAATGTGGAGATACCCACAGTTCAAGGGGGGGACATATGGAAGATAAGAGATGCAGAGATTGGCAAACATAAGTCTTGCTCCTGCCACCTAGGCAGGTGAGAGCAGTGAATTCAATGCACCTGGAATGGTGAAGATGAGAAATAACCTAGGAGGTTGAGAAAGCCAACCCTGAATTCAAATAGGAACTAATGGCACCTCAGAGGGAGTGACTTGGGGAGGGGGATAGTGTTCCCTGGTGCTGAGCAGAGCTGAGGAGCCCAGGGAAGTCAAGCAGACGCACGGCCAAGGTGACCCCCATCAACAAGGCCACAGGAAGATGAAGAGCCTGATAGCCAGCCATGTTCGGGCTGGCAGTAACCACAGCAGGTGATTTCACTTGTGTAGGTCAGGACCCTGCATTTTTGGGATGGGTTACATTTATCACTGGATCCCAGAAAGCCACAGGGCCCTGTCTTTTCCCAAACCCCCGTTAGAAATGTCACCTTCCTGCTTCTGAGAGCTGAGAACTGTTTGCCATCATGTGCTCAGTCGCTTTTGAAGTGCACCATATTGCGTTCAGTTTTCCATGTGGAGCTGTGTCCAGTGGTTCATTTGTAACCTTTCTTGCTTTCTGTTGGGAATAACTACAATAGTGTAGTTTTACCTGTACTACAAACTCCAGACTCTTAAGAAATATGTCTTTAAATATGGATCTGATGCTCTCTGGAACAGAAGGCTTTTAATTTGCCCTGAGGTATCAAAGTTCCTATAACCTGGCAAGGTCTGATAGGTAAAACTCTCCAAGGATTTCTGTGGAGCACTCAGTTGGGTTCCCCATGAGAGTGAGATGGCACGCTCTCCAAAACTGGGGTTGACAACTAGGGTTCGGTTCATAGGCTAACATTTTCACAAGTGACTATTAATTTTAGATCAGCACTTCTCATTCCAAGCCAGAAAATAGGTCTCCTTACCATCCTGTAGTGCAGACCTTGTCTGTCAGCATGGATGACGTCCTTTTATCTTGTACAACTCCCCAAGTTTCCCTCCATTTATCCTAATCATTGTGTTTCTTTCCTTTTCCACACCACCAAAGTATGTAGGCTGAAATGGCTAAATGGTGAGATAAGATGCAATAAGAAAGATAATAAGACTGTAAGAACAATTTCACAAATAACAACTATTGGTGAATGTTTATGAACAACATGTTCAAGGTAGTACAGATAGGTTGGGAGAGGAGAGGAAGATCATATTGCCAAGAGATCATTGAATACTGAGGTAGTAGGTGTCAGATTAAGAGGAAGACCCAAGAGAGGATGGCTAGATCAAATAAAGGATGGTATGCAAATAGGAAATATATCAGAGGCCCTTATCAATGCTAAAATAGCATGGAAAAGGATATTTAAACTGTGACCCAACCATGCATAAGGATAAAGATGAAGAAAACCAGGACTAGGGATTTTAGTATTTACCTTACAACATTGGAAAACAGCCTTATTTTCAGAGGGGCAGACCACTGTTCAAAAGCCAAGACCCTTTAACATGCCTCATGCTGAACACCTAAAATTACTGGTCACTTCTGGAAAATCATGGTCCAATTTTCAGTTTCTCTGACAACAACAAAACAGTCTGTTTTTTAAGACATTATTGGCAGACAGACTTTCCAAGAAAATTTCAAAGGCCTGGCCAAGTGTCACCTGTCTAATGATGTCCTCTCTTCACTTTTACATCATAACTGCCACGTTAGAGACACCAATTTACCAATACTGATCAAGCTAGAGCAGTACAACTTCCAGGTGTAGACATGATAGTAATGGAGGTAGTATTTTAAACTGATTTATAGCTTTATGCATATGGAAACTCTTGATCTGGTGTAAAACCAGGTGGTAGATACACTGATTTTACCCATTTCAAACCACAAGAGCATCTACATGAGGGTTTGTGCTCCAGGAATTAAACTGGCTTTTAACCTGATTTTAAATTAGACTTATTTCACTTCCGTACATACAGGAGACCTTAGGAACTAAATGTCATTTTTAGATAAATGACTTTAAAATGGATCCTTTTTGCACAAATACGTGGAGAGCTCCCATGAGGGAGCAGCAGGGAAAATGCAACTATTACTAACTGAATGATTCAGATGGGGAATTAAGACACACAGGCCTACCTGGAGGACATAGTTACTTGGAAGGTAAGGATCTGAGCTTTGCTGTGGCTCAGATATGATCACAGGGGAAGGCATTTGTTATGCCCAGAGAAATGTGGACCTAGGCCCACCAGGGGATCTATAAGCCTCCCTTAATCAAGGTGGTCAGTACAGATTCTGGGGGACACCAAAAAAAGAAAACAGGGATGGAAGTGAAGGTCACAGGTTTATAACCAGTTTTCCAAGCCGAGCAGAGTACAATGGCTAGTGCCCACTGCCCCTTGAATGTGTCCAAGGAGCCAGTGGATGCTGCCCAGTGAAACTCTTGCCCGAAAGCATGAGCAGAGGGGAGATTGGAAGGCAGCCCTACAGTCAGTAGGGTTCCCCCTGGCAATAACCTCTTTCCTGGTCTGGCAGATGGTGACTTTGGCTAGAGCCAGAAGCAGGTTGACCAGGAGGTCCCAGGACTTGATGAGGCCATGAATGGGACATGCATAAAAGAAAAGGTGTGGGGAGAAGTGCAGCCAGAACCTCAGGAGGAGGTTCCTACGGTGGTGGTGAAGGGGCTAGAGCCCGGTGCACTTGCGGTAGGCATTCACCAGGGTCTCCCCCTGTTGACAGAAGGGGCAGGTGTTGGGGGCGTCTGTAAAGCACTCCAGATACACACTTATGGAGATGGCTCCATGCAGGGGCTGCCACTTAGAAGGAAAGGAAGCCGTGCTGCAACTCTATGCGGAGGTAACCTAGATGAGTTTACTACTCTGGGTGCATGTTGGGTGCAGTCTGAATAAAGGTGAAGGGGCTGTGGGCTGTGGCTTTACAGCAAAACTCCTCAATATTGCCAACCCCAAGTATTAAAAGGCTGTGAGTTTGGGTTCCCGCCCCCCCAACCTTGACTTAAACACATACACGAACAATACATTTCTAGGTTTGTTTGGCTTTTTAATTTGCCTCTGGGTTTATTTTTTTTTTAGCCTTTTCAGGTCATATTTTCAAGCTCTTCTCTGCAATCAGGAGGGCTGCAAAATTGTCAGCTGAGATTATCATACGACTCCAGTAGCTGGGACTTTAAGATAAAGACCAAATAGCCCAAGACTGGGGATAAAGACCACAAGCATCAGCAATGCTGGGATCTGCTCATTACAGCCCTGGTCCAGCCAGATGAAGGTCCTGGCCATGCCCCCTTGTCCATCCCCCTATTATGGCTCCACCACGCAGGAGCAGCCTATGTAAATGCTCACTGTGTGGCTAGGAAAGGAGCCAGGACCTCTCTTCTGTCAGGCACCTGCCAGACACCATTATGTACACCAAGGTCTCTTATGAACTAGGGCCAAACTGAAGACCAGGTTGCTAAATCAACAAGGCCCAATGTTGTAGTGTCGGCTGGTCTGTACAAACGTACAGCCTCTGGCTTGGCACCCAGGCTCCCTTGTATGACACCCGGGGAGAGCTACAAGGAGACTCTCAGCCCCTGTCCCCGATCAGGAAGCTGGCAAACTAAGCAGCAGGAAATGCTGAGAACAGGGACCCAGACCCCACCTCCCAGAAGTCCTTCAGTACCCAGCTCAACTCAGGGTTAGCGCCCATGAGCCCTGTCCTCATATTAGACAGCTGTTCTCATGAAAATCCCAAAGACTAGTCCCTTCATTAGACCCCACAGCCCAGGGGTGAGCGCACTCACCCGAGTGGGAAGACCCGTTTTCAAGCCCCCACTCCAGCTGCTTCAGGGCACAGACTTGAACTAGGTTTCCCTCATCCTATGAGCACATAAAAAAACCCTATAGACACTGGGATGTGCTGAAATAAGGCTCTCCGAGTCGGCCTTATGGGAGGCGTTCTGCCTTGTGATAATTAAATACCCACCAGACCAGGGAAAGA